TCTCGTCTCGTCTCGTCTCGTCTCGTCTCGTCTTTGAAGCGGAATCAAAGGAAGTCGGGATTAGGCCACATAGACAGCTGTTCAAAAGTTGCGACAATACTGTTGGAAACACCGAATCGTGCCAGTAGAAACGAATGCCAGGGCCTGTGACTCGTTGAGCGAGCGGTTTCGGCCTCCAGGTCACTGGCGTAGCAAAAAAATACAACACTCTGTAACAAATGCAAAATACATATTAGAGTAAAGTACAATATATCGTGGCAGAGCCCTCTGAAATCGGGAATGTCTCACAATTCAGAAACAAATACAAAATAATTAAACACTCACAAGCGAATCCTAGATAGCAGGTTATATATAATTCTAGGAACAATTAAAATCGTCTTCTATGTACAATTAAAATTAATTTAGTATATATGCCAAATTTTAAATATTTAACATGGCAGGGAGCCACGGCGAGAACATAAAAAGTGGTGCTATTATAAGAAACAATACATAGTTTACCGTAGTTGACGACTACGAGCCCGTCAATGCAACCATCGCCATGGAAAATAATAAAAATTTTTAACGTGGTTGAAGACTACGGGTCTGCAAATACAATCAGCGCGCGGAGCGAACTTTGCGCTCGTATTTATAGGAAAAATTACACATAAATATCTCTCTGCCGTGGTCTAATTTCTACGGCCGATTATTTTGGCATGTAATGCCCTCTGCAGGGAACTGCTTGATTTACAAACAAACAAATGAATAATGAAAACTATCTATTATGGTAGCAACAGCACTGCATGTAATGCACTTTGCAAGGAACTGTTTGATTAGGTCTATACTGAACCAATACACAGAGAAATATTAAAATTTAATACAAGAAAGGATGACAATGTTGCAAACAAAATCTGGGATATATAATGACTTATTATATATGGAATTGTATATGGAATGATTATTGACCATTTCTAATAAGCCAGAAGTCACACAGAGCTTGTAGTTTAATTACAAAAAATAATTCAAGAGATGGTAAATTGACTTACAATAATCACCCCTAAAATTCAAAATAAAATATAATTAATAATTTATAAATTAAACAGATACCATAGTTTAACTCAGAATTGAATACTGAATAAGTTCCAAGTAGTTTCATGGATGTAAAGCTCATAGTTTGAGCAGAAAAATTATTTTATGAGGTTGAGATACATTATTTAATTTTCATGCCTATAAATTAACAAAAAATAGAAATATGACCAAAAACCTAAGTGTGGCCGCACTGTATCTGAATATTATGAGAAGGCAAGAAAGGCATTACCTCATATTTTAGACAAAAATTATACATTAAATTGAGGAACCTCATATTTCAGCTTGTGAATACCTTCTTACAGCTTAGATGGTAGTATACATGATATAAATAAGAAGAATCTGAGTAGTACAATTATTTTAGAATATAAAATAAATATTTTAGACCTTCCTTAATTTTTTGGGGGTTGAAATATGACACTTACTACTCTAGATGTTCCTGAACTAACGATTTCTTTTGTAGTCTTCCCACACCTCTTCCCTTTTGCTTTGTACTTCAACACTGCTTTAGGTAATCTTTCTTGTTTCATTCTGTTAATGTCAGAGAGCAAATTTTTCTGTCCATTATTTATTTCTTCTTCAATAGTTTTTGTCTTCGGCCTGTTTCTGATGTCTTTCCGCAGTCTGTTCCTAACATCCTGCAAAAATATATATAAATATACAAATGTATAATAAACACTAAAATAAGGGCCCAGACCTGTTGCATGCAGTTTCAAAATATGAAAGTGAAGGTGATTTAAAGGTGGGAAAATTATCAATTTGTTTAACAACAGCCCAGCAGTAGAAAACATTTGCAAAAAGTTCACAATGATTTGTGTTTTTTCAAGTCTGTTGCAGAGTTTTAAGATACAGTGAAAATTAATTTTTTGTTATTACTTTTTTCAAAAAAAATTTGCTGTAGAGAAATGTTTTTGGCGGTAGATATGTGTGGATGGAGGAAAGGGGGCTAAGACACCTTCCAAAAGTCTACTTTTATGTTAAAGATGTAGTGTGACTACTCACGTCATTTGGTTTAGGGGAACTTTTTATCATCTTATCTGGGATTACTCTTTAATCAACTTTATCAAATATTTAAAATTTGAACATAAAAAAAGTAATTGTTTTTGTAATGTGGCCAGTCACGGCATCATGATGGAATATCTCACGCCGTTACTGGAATTTGTTATATTACCATATTTTCAATTTTAAATTAATACAATCTTCACTATTAATTAAATTCAATATCAATTTCATTGATAAATGTAATGTTTAAACTCAATTGAAACATTAATCTTTTTCTATGAGTGCAGCTTTGGACAAAGGTTTTAAAGTGATGACAAGATGTCAAAACTTGAATTTTTCTACAAATTGAGAATCTATGTGCTATGGGAGAAAATCTGGGAAAACTGTTTGTTAGGAATTTTAAATCAATCAGAAATAAAGTATATTTAACAGTAAATGAAATTCATATATGCAGGAAAAAATGTTTCCCAATCACTTGCCACTTTGAGTTTTAGACTCAGACAACCGTCCCCTTAGAAAATGTTTGAAATGTACTAAGGAAAACAGACTACCAAACAATTCATATACTATCAAAAGTATTATTACACTTGTACTTCTATTATGAAAATTTAAAAAATCAATTGCCAAAATGTGAAAGTTAGAATTGCCAGAGAAGATTCAGCTAAAGAATTATTCCCACAATTGCAGAAAGAAAACAATGGAACTTTGTCATGATATAAGGTTAAAGACAAAATAAAAAGATCAGATGGATATGAAAAGAAACTAATGTTGGGGAGGAGTAGTTTGGACAATGAAATGAGGATTATTCACCTCAGTTCCTGAAGAATGAAATGTTGGAGGTGAAAGGAGTTGTAGGAACCAAAGAATATCAAGGAAAAAATAACATATACAAAAAAGAAGTAGGTTTAGAAAAATAGGAGAGACCTCCAAAATTAAAAAATTATAACAACTGTTGTTACAATAATGGACCAGAATATCCAGTCTCCATTGAGCCACAATGAACTGTGAAAATAGTTAATACTGAAGGGAAGCTGTAATAAGGGAGATGATAATAAATAGGGAGGTAATAATAAAGGAGATAATAAAGTCGGTAGAAGAGAATAATTAATGGACATTAGTACTCTTGCCTAGTTGACATACAAGACACACTTTCTAATACCTATTTAAACTGAATTAAAATGAACAAATTTCTGAAAAAGCTGGGTCAATAGCAAACAGACGTGCAAAAGTTTTGACATGTCCAAATCACAAATCCGGAAAATGTTATCCTTAAAAATCTATCAAATGGATTTGAAAGGGTTTTCCTGAATAGAAAGTTCAAGAAGGATGCATTTGTAAAAAAAACTGTAAAATAATGATAAATGAGATTCATGGTTAAACAGGTTAACTGGAAAATCATCAAGAAATTAGCTTAAACAAATTAGTTGATTTGATTATTTCTCAATGGAAAGCAAGAGATTATTTTTGATGCACCATTGAGTGGAGGCATTGAAACTGAAATGAAACTTGTTTTATTTGAATACCTGGTTTGAATACCCCACCCTTTTAAAATATTACTTAGTTGAATGATTAATACAGTACCAACAAAACAAACCACATTTCTTAGAAAATTCAAAACCTACAACTGTTTCCTGTAGGTTCCTAAATATTTTTGTCTAAAAAGTATTTCTTTCTTAGTTAAATACATTTATTACAAAAAATTGTGAGGATTTTCAAAATCTAATAAATATTTTTTTGTTAATTATTTGTAATAATAATTAACTTCAACATGTTCATTCATATCATTTCATTTTGAAATAAACTGTGAACACGTCTTAATTTTCAACATTGGTTTCATAAAAAATAAATCAATATGAGTTCAGACCCCTAATCTTATCATTTTAAACTTTTTTAAGAATTTGAATTTTTTATCCCAACATTGCGAATTTCTTCATATCCCTGTACTTTCCATGATACTGCCATACTTCATGCACTTCATTGCATTTGATATATAGTACATATTCACATTCTACATTTCACTTTTCTGATGAAGGAGCTCCACAACTTTCTTTGAATCCACAAGTGCTCTTTGTGGTTATTCATATATTTATAACAGTTTTTAAAATTTTTATTCAGTAAAATATACTTTTTTACATTAATTCCGCATTTCTGCGGAAAAAATCTACTACAATACGTGAGTTCAAATCCCGGCTGTGTGCAAACGATGTTGTGGCCGCAGGGCAGCCGCTGTCGGCGACGGGCTACGAGGGCTGGGGGCCGGGGCAGCCCGACATGAGCATCTGCGGGCGCGTGGACCAGCAGGGCTTGCTGCGCGACGGGATGTGCGACTGGGTGGAGCCGGCCAGCTTCCTGTGCGAGCGCCCGCCCT